ATTGGGTATGTCTAGTTTAACGAAGAGAAAGACGAGGGGGGACATGATAGCAGTGTTCCAATATCTCAGGGGCTGCCACAAAGAAGAGGGTGTCAAGCTATTTTCCAAGGCGCCTGAAGGCAGGACAAGAAACAATGGGTGGAAACTAATCAAGGAGAGAAGCAACCTAGAACTAAGGAGAAACTTCCTGACAGTGAGAACAATTAACCAGTGGAACAACCTGCCTCCAGAAGCGGTAAATGCTCCAACACTGGAGGTTTTTAAGAAGAGAATAGACAGCCATTTGTCTGAAATGGTATAGGGCTTCCTGCCTGAGCAGGGGGTTGGACTCGATGACCTCCAAGGTCCCTTCCAACTTTTTATTATTATTATTATTATTATTATTATTATTATTATTATTATTATTATTATTATTCTCAATCATCGCACAGTCAGCCAGATGTTCAGACTGGATTTGGCATTTTGTCTACCTATCGAGTCCTTACCCAGGACCTGGGATAGGCAGATGTGGATGTTTGATGGTATTACAGGTATCGTCGCAGGATGGAAGCAGTTCCTAATAAGGCCGCCTTTTGCAATTGACTAATAGCAAATTTGTCAATGCCAATGGTGTTCAAGTGGTGCTCCAGTTGTTTTGGGATTGCACCCAAGGAGCCTATGACTATTGGTACTACCCTTGCTTGCTTTTGCCACAGTCTTTCTATTTCTATTTGTAGGTCTTTGTATTTTGTTATCTTCTCCAGTTCTTTCTCTTCTATTCTGCTGTCTCCAGGCACTGCCACGTCCACTATCCAGACTTTTTTGTCTTTCTTATCGACAATTGTTAAGTCTGGGGTGTTATGTTGCAGGTGCTTGTCTGTTTGAATTCTGAAGTCCCAGAGCAGTTTAATTTTATCATTTTCTATGACTTTCTCTATTTTATGATCCCACCAGTTTTTGCTTACAGGCAAATGATATTTTTTGCAGATCTTCCAATGCACCATTGTTGCTACTTTGTCATGCCGCTGCTTGTAGTCAGTCTGTGCAATCTTCTTGCAACAGCTTACCAGGTGGTCCACTGTTTCTTCAGCTTCTTTGCATAGGCGGCACTTACTGTCTGTTGCTGTCTTCTCAATTTTGACTTTATATGCATTTGTCCTTAAGGCTTGGTCTTGTGCAGCCAGAATTAGTCCCCCGGTCTCTTTCTTCAATTTTCCATAAAAAGGTTGAGAACCGCTGCTCTATTCTGTTCTTCATTTGGTCTTTCTTGTAGGCCAGTTTGGTCTCTCCAGTAGTCAGTAAGCCTTCCTGATATATTTATTTATGAGACTTATATACCGCTTTAAGTGCAAGCACTCTCTAAGCGGTGTACACCAGTAAGCAATGTATGTATATATTTACATTGCCCCCAACAATCTGGGTCCTCAGTTTACCTACCTCGGAAGGATGGAAGGCTGAGTCAACCTTGAGCCGGTGAGATTTGAACCGCTGACCTGTTGAACACAGTCAGCTAAAGTGGCCTGCAGTACTGCACTCTAACCGCTGCGCCACCTCGGCTCATCATATACTAATTTCAATGCATCTTCATCATTGTTCTTCAGATATTCTTCCAAAGCCATTTTTTCTTCTTCAGCCATCTGATGTATTTGTAGCATTCCACGCCCACCTATTTGCCTTGGTAGATAAAGTCTGTCAATGTCACTGCGTGGATGAAGGGCATGATTCATTGTCATTATTTTTCTGGTGTTCCTATCCATTGCTTTTAGTTCTGCTTGAGTCCAGTCCACTATTCCAGCTGTGTACCTAATGACTGGAATTGCCCAGGTGTTGATTGCCTTTATGGTATTTCCTCCACTGAGTTTGGACTTTAAGATCTTCTTCACTGCCATGCCACATTCAGATTGGTTTTCCTTCTCTTGCAGTTTTGCAAGATCATTTTGTCTATTAGGAGTTGATCTTTTGTTCCTCTGCTATTGGGGCGATTTCCTTTCTGCTCAGGTGGAAAGAGATTGTTTTCAACTAGATCAGTGGTTCTCAACCTGTGGGTCGGGACCCCATTTGGGGTCGAATGACCATTTCACGGGGGTCACCAAACCACGCTGTCCGCCATTTTTTCCCCTTTTCCCTAATTGTCCTACTCCCTCTTATTGGTGGCCATACCCACTTGGCCACACCCCTGGGGGTCACCACAACACGGGGAACTGTATTATGGGGTCACGGCATTAGAAAGGTTGAGAACCACTGAACTAGATGCTGTTGTACTGCATCAGCTACCACACCAGTTAATAATTTGAAAGTTGTTGGTAAGCAGGTAATTGGCCTGTAGTTGCCTGGTGTTGCCCCTTTTGCTGGATTTATTATTATTATTATTATTATTATTATTATTATTATTATTATTATTATTATTATTATTATATAGCACGTGCATCTCTGAAACACATGCTTAATGCGTGATTAGAAAACTAAATATTTTCCCAATAAATATTAGAAAACTAAATATTAAGCTTCACAGAGAAAGCAATTCAATATCAAAGTTTAAAGATACTGTAATTCTTTTCAAAGGATTTTTCTATAAGATTCTCCACTATGAATATGTACATGTGATTTGTTTAAAATTTTACAAGAATAAACTAGACCTTCTCTACCAATTCTTTTAAAATATCCAGTAAAGACAGAATTAGATAACTAACCTATTTATTGATAACTAACCTATTTATTGGGAAGTATCAAGTAAACTATAATCTTTTTAAATGCGAAGACTCATAAGTATTCATATTATGCATTATGTTGTATTTGAGTCCCTATTTTTATTTAAAATATTTTCTTTTTAATTCATGTGTCTAAACAAGGGTATATTAATGTATATTTTTATGGTTTTTATACTTTTATTTTGGATTCATGATAAAACAACAGAAGAACTGAACTAATATGCCTACATTAAGTTGCCCTGCAAGCAAGGTATAAAAAAAACAATAATGTATCTTACTAAAAAAAACTCTATTGTTCAACATCATAATATCAAATTTATGCTCAATGCTGTCAAGCATTTTTATTTTGTTTTCAAACTTGTTTGCTTAAGCCTAAAATTTCCTGGGTTCAAAACAGATTTTTGCCAAAGCATGGGAAGAACAATTTCTTTATTGTCCTCAGCTGAATATTATGTAATGATTTAACAATGAAACTTCATTTTCAATCATTATACCACAGGTACACTTTTTAGTTGTTTACAAGACATTCAATCTGTCTAAAATGTTCTACTTACCTTAGAGCAGACATGTCGAACACAAGGCCCGGGGGCTGGATGCAGCCCATGAAGTGGTTTCATGTGGCCCACGAAGCCATCCTGGAATGAGTGAGGGAATGGCCCCCTCTGCTTTGGCCCAGGCCGGTCGGGAGCCAATGTACAATTTTGTGGTGGCCATCTATGCTGAAACACACTCAGTCTTAGCTCCACAAGGCCGTCTGGAAACAGCGAGGAACCAGCCCCTTCCGCGTCAGCCCCACTCCCTGGGTGTATGCTGGGGAGGTGTCACCATTTGTGAGGAATGAAGAAATGCACCATTGCCTGGAAGTGGCCAGCAAATGGCCCTCGCCTACTTCAAATATATGGCTTGATGGGCACTGGGGGAAGGGGTTTCGGCAGGCAGCGGGGCACTCTCCTCATAGCGCCAAGAGGCTGAGCCGGGCAGCACGAATCCAAAAAGAAGTGTGACACCGCCCAGCCCCCAGCCTGCCCAGTTTTGGCAGGCAGCGGGGTGCTCTCCTCACAGCGCCAAGAGTTTAGCCGGGTGGCACAAAACTGATGAGGTACAATACTGCCTAGCCCCCAGCCTGCCCAGTTTCAAGCACCGCCTGGCTCAACCTCTCGGCGTTGTGAGGAAAGCACCCCACTGCCTGCTGAAACCAGGCAAGTTGGGGGCTGGGCAGCATTGCTCAGGTAATGTTGACTCTCACACTGCTCATGGCATCCCCTCCTCCAGAGCCCACCAAGCCAGATATGTGAAGTAGGTGAGGGTCCTGTGCTAGCCACTTTCAGGCAATGGTGCATTTCTTCATTCCTCACGAAGGGTGACACTTCCCCAGCTGCGTTTCTTGCCTGTTTTTCTCCCTCCTCATCTCAAATATTTTCCCACCATTCTGTACTTAGGAAGGAAGAAAGGAAAAGAGAGGGAGGGTCTGAGGGGAGTCTTGCCTTAGTCCTGCCCTGCTGCCCTTTTACCATTCCCTTGCCCCCTCCTCCTGGCCTATCCTGAGGTCTCCCATCCTATTGCTAAGGAAGCTTTGGATACAAAGCCAGGTCTCCTCCCATGGAGAGGGAATGGGCCTCCCTCTGACTTTGCCCTCGTACCCATCTTGAGCAACCTGGCTAAGGAGAGCAAGCACAACAGCAGCAGTCTTGAGGAGGAGGTAAGTGCAGCTGGGCACCTCCTTGGGGCTGGGCTTGGTGCCGCAGGTGCTCAAGGGCCAGGCTGGGTAGCTCTGCTGCCCAGGGCTCCGGGTAGCCCGCACCACCACCCAGTTCCCCCCCCCCCACAGCCTGAGAGGAACAGTGAGGCTCCTCCAGTGGGCCATGCCTTGGCACTTGCCCTGATCCCACACCCTTCTGCCAGAGACTCTCAGATCTGTCTCACTCCTGCTGAGGCCCCCACAGGCACCCTTGATGCAAACGATGTAGAGCTGGCCATGCCCACCCAGCAGACCACACCCACTCCATCCACACACTCAGTAGGCCACACCCACTCTGACCACACACCCCGGCCCCCAGAGAGCAACTGCAATGCTGATGCGGCCCTCAATGAAATTGAGTTTTACACCCCTGCCTTAGAGAGAAGAATACACATTGAGTCTAATGTCCTTAACATTCATTTATCAGTCTGGATAATGAAATAGTTTTTAGAGTTCATTTTTTTAAATAGCATTTGTTATATCTGAAGTAATTCTGCAAATAGATCTTATAATAGGCAGTTTTGCATTAAGCCTTGTTATGCACTCAATACATATATCACAACATCAAGAAACAGGAAGTTTTAAAAGAGTTTATTTCAATCAAGTAAAAAGTATTATGCACCCCCTCCCCCAACATACACCATTAAAAATACAAACAGACATTTCTGCCTTTACCCCACTTCAGGATACCGGCCTGATCATGGGGCAGGAAATACCCTGAGGCCCCAAATTTCCACACTTGGAGCTGAGAGTAACCTCCATCAACCCTTCCAAATATAGCACCATTAAAAATACAGACAACCCCCTTACCCCCACCCCACCCTCTCCTTCTGCTCAGACCAAACTAATATACACCCAGGGCTGTGTGCACTCAATCACGCTGTACCAATGCCAGATTTGAGTTTGAGTGCGGGTCCTGTTTAACTTCTTCCATCTAACAAGTCCTGGCCCCTTGACACTGGGATGACAGATTTGTAAAGATATAGACCAGCTAGGCTAGATGGGGCACACTAATCAATTTTTCCTATAACATATTGCCCATGGTACAAAAAAGGCCCCAATAATTTATTTTCACAATTCATGTAAATTCAGAGCTTGGTTTATGTTACTTTTTTTTTTTCAGAATACACACACCCCTGAAAATATGCCCCACGTTACCCCTTTGGACTCTCCTCTCTTCTGGATGCTGAAGTTTGGAAAAATCCCCCATTTAAATAAAGAATTGCAAATATGTGGAGAGACGGGGTAGTACAATGGAGCAAATTCCCCACAATCCTAGTTAGTGCATATTATGGACTGAGTGATTTGTTTCTTAATGAAGCAAGTTTGTAATGACCCCACCACAAAAGGCAGGTAGTTGGACTGATATACTGTGGTTAAAACCTGGGGAGGAAAATTATATGCAGGCTTCTACCAAACCACTCCCTGAGGAACCCAGCCAACCAGAGACCTTCCCTAGTGTCCAGGCTACTTATTTTTCCCATCTGTGTGAAAATCAAGGTATCTTAACATACCCTCCTGAGCATAACTTTTATGGAGAAGTGGAATTCAATCTTTCTTTTGAAATGGGGATACAGTGGCTCCACTTCAAAAGCATTTTTGAAAAGTCTTATAAAAGATGGAAGAAGCAATGTAATAAACCATGGTATTATCTGGGAAACAAGCAGAGGCTGGAGCTGAAGAGGCTGATTTTAAAACCTACCCATACAAGATGCTACAACAAAATAAACAACTGGATTTGCTACCACTCCACCTCATGAGAACACGTATGTTTTTTTTAAATCTGAAAGTGTGAAAGTGGAAGAAGAAAAGACAGGACTTAACGGACACTGGACTGAAAGAAGACTGAAGTCAGAGATGCAAGAATGCCTTGATGCTTCCCTTCCCAAGCAAGGTAGCACAAACCATAAACCCACCAGGAAAGATGGAGAAAAGAGAGGCACGGGAAGGTGAAACCTCAGCCCCAGCCTGTCTTTTCACAGAGAGTGTACAGTATCCTGACTAGCAATATCCACCCTTCCCACCCCTGACCTTTCCCCACACAAAACCCTTGACCATCTTGCCCTCTTTGTTCCTCTCTCCCCTCCCCCCATTACCATCACTATCTAAAGGCTGTGCCACTAGTCTCCAACTATTAACTAACATGGAACATCCATAAGTGGAAAGTAGCAAACAAGAAAGCAAGTCTGGGCGCCCGTGTTAATAGGAGCCACAAACTCAGAAAAACCACTAAAACCTCTACTTCTTTTTAGTACGTACATCTATGCTGTGCAGAAAATGCACATCTTGTAGAAGTCTCTTTAAAATTCAAAAACTAATGAGACATCATCTCACATTTAGGTCAAAACTATTCTCATAGACACTCACATATAGGCATTAATAGTAGAATCATACATAGCAAACCCCACATTCTGTGACACAACCAACAATGTGCAATTAATAAGAAATCAATGGAATAATTATTATGAAATATAAAATGATTACTAATGTACAGAACTTTGGAGAAAGAAAAAAGTGCCTTATTTAAATTTTCACACATATAAAGCAAGCTTACAGAACAGGAAAAGATGTACAACGTCTCAATTATTTTAGTGAGCAATGTGATACACATAGTCCTTGACTTACGACCATTTGTTCAGCAACCATTCAAGGTTACAACGAAGTGGAACATAGGGACTTATGATCCATGCCCAAAGTTACAGCCATTGCATGCCCCCATAATCAAACTTCAGGTGGTTAGCAGCCTGCCCACACCTACCACCACAGGGGCACTTCAACTCCTTCCACTGTCTATACCCCCCCAATTCCCATTTGGCCCCCTGCTACCCTGTGCTCTGCTGTCCCAGTTGACTTTATTTTTTCTCTCTCTCTCCACTACTGACAATGTATGCCTGGTCTGGGGCCAGCTTTGTGCTCAGGAAAAGGACAAAGCAGCTTAAAAGGGATATTTTGGTGGGCCACAGCACACCAAAGCGCCCCTTTGCACCATGTTCTGGGATGTATGGGGCTGGCTTTCTGCTGTGTAAAAGAAAAAATGCGAAGCAGCCCCTTTCAGCAGCTACTTCATACTTTTTCCCTTTTATAGCACAAAGCCAGCCCCGTTTGGCTCAGGAACACAGCGCATTTGGCATACTGCAGCTCTGGAATGGACTTGGTTCCCTTTTTTCCCCCACCTTGAAGACAGTCCCAGATCAGCCCAATAGCCAGGGTGGGTAAGCAAAGGAAGCAAGAAGATGGCGGCAAAGGTCAGCTGGGGCAGTGGGGGTCTCAGAGTGCAGGATGGCGAGGGCAACTGGAATGGGAGCAGGGTACAGGACAGCCCAAAGTGCAGAGATTGGAAGGAGGGCGGGGAGGAAGAGCTAAGCAGGTTGGTGGAATTTACCTTATTGAGGCTCAGGTCTGGCAGGGACAAATCCTGGGGTGGGCCTTTGAGTAATGACCAGTAAAATTTGCTTAACAGCAGCAACAAGAATCACCAAGATTGCAGTCACTGAGTAATGTGGTCACATTACATCACTTTATGACTGCATCACTCAGCGATCAAAATTCTAGTCTCAATTATGGTCATAAATTGAGGACCACCTTTATTAAGCTCACTAACATTTTTTAAACTATCTTTTTTCATATAAATCCATGGGAGCAAAAGGAAGAATGTCCATAGACAATGGTAATTCTGGACAATATGAATCACCCATAGGTAAATACTCAAATGGTTACCAAAATATGCTATTGTTATGCCTTTCCAATCAATTTGTGGAAAACTGTTCTATTGTCTCTGTATCTGTATTGTTTCTGTGATATTTTTACATAAGTATGCGTTGTCTATGGTTATTCTTAAGATTTCGTTCTCAGGACAGGTTGAACAGCATCAGCTCGTCCTTTCTCTTCAAAGCTAATAGCTATAAACTACTTACAAAATTACAGTGGTTTCCCAGGAATCAGCACCTGTTTTGCAGAGCAATGAAAAACCCACAATTGCAATACATTATGTATGTCAGTCCAAAAATGCATGCCAGACAAACTAGTTGCTACTCTAAAAGCTCTAAAATTCAGATTTTCCAACTTCAGAGATCAAAGAACCTTGGCTGGACAAGCTTCTCTAACACTAACTGCACCAAACTACAATACCAAACAAACAGAAAAGGAATGAGTTGGAAAAGGAACACCAGACTGTTCTAAGACTCTTGGATATGTATCCAAAGTCAACACCACAAAGGATTCCACAAAATTTTAAAACAAAGCAAGCACTTAAAGGAAAAGCTTGAATTGCAACATTTCACCCATTCAATTGCCACCATCTCTCCCCATATACCTTGCATTCAGATTTCTAACACCAGAATGTGCCCTACCTGTTCAAAGTCCTGTCATGGTAAACTGAGTGGGAGAAATATACAGCAAATCCACTTACCATGTGTGACTTTGAACTGAGTTAGGCCACATTAAACCGAGTAGAACTTTTATCCTGCTCATCAGCCTCTTACAAAATGAAGCCCCTTTATCACAATGCCCCTGAGCCAAGCAGCTCAACTTTATCAAATATAAAACACCTGAATATTTAAAGTTCATTAAGATTCTAAAAAGGCCCAGTAGACACCTGTTTAAAACTCTAGCTGGGAGAAGAAATAAGTCACGCAAAATAACTAATATAAAAGTAGCTTCCAAAACTAGAAAATTAGATGTCTTGTAACAATAGGCATCCGAACAGTGAGACGGCAAAAGAAGAGGAGCAAGAACAATTTAATCCCCCATATAAGGCTGTTTAGCAAAAAAACAGCCTTCAGGCTAAATGGACTGAACTGTTTAGGCTGCATGCCAATGTGCACTTCTGGTTGCTGGTTTTCTCGCAATAAGTTTTAAAGAGACTTCCCTGATTAGATGCTGGTTTTCTTTTCTCCACAAGTCACTTCACCAATTCTGCCTCACTCTGTAGGGACAATAAATGCCAAAATACCATGTCCATCTGTCAAGCAGTCTATAATTACAGTGCATAAACCAGAGCATGGAGATATCGAGTAGAGAGGTGAAAGGACTCGGTGGGAGAGAAAGTAGAGTTCAAAGAAAAGACCAGGAGGCAATCCATGCAGTCTACTATATGGCTTAAGTTTCAAGACTATACAGTAAAGTTTGGCAAAGTAGTGGAGAACAATTCTTTTAAAGGAATCGTGAGGATGTGATAAAGGAAGTACTCTGGAAAGATAACTGAAATATCAATTTCAATGGAAAAAAGTAGGAGTGGAACACAAGGCGTTTTTAGCACAGGCAGCCTTGTGCCCACTGGGGACATTACTTCAGAAGAGATGTTATCAACCCACACAAGGTGATGGGGAGAAGGGCACAACAAAAAGATGGATAATTTCAGGCAAATTCTGGTAGATGGTTTTCATGGGTAAATTCAGTTAAGAAGCTAAAGTCTCGTTTTCAGTCACAGGAGTTCAGCCAGATCAGGACATCTCCTCGCAGGAGCTTGCAGCTACCTCAAGGTTGATGGAACCATGGCTCACTACCAGTCGAAGCCGTTTGGGTGGCACAAAAGGGGGAAAGGAAACCATCCGCTTAGGAAGATGCTGTTCCTCGGCTTGTTCCTTCTCCACGTTGTCTGAAGGGAGCTGCTGCCAGCACTGCTTGCCTCCAAAAAGTGGGCCTTCCAGGCGGACGTGAGCATACTGGGAAAGCTTGGGGTCTACCATTGGTAATGACAACTGAGATTGGGGCAAAACGTGAGCTTGGCACTGAGCCATGCTTCTTGTTCTGCACAAAAACTGACTGGATGAAAGAGAACCTGAAGAATCAAAGGGGACTAGCTTTCCTGAATGGAGAACCCCAGATCCTGATTCATGGGTTTCTTTAACATCAGCATGACTTTCCTCCATATCCTTTGAATCATATTCCTCGGTCCCCTGGCTAAACTCCTCGTTAGTGTTAGAAAGTTTTTCTTCTTTAATGTCACACGCTACTTCCCTATGAAACCTTGCCCAGTCCAAGGGAATTCTCTTCCCGAGATTCACTACCAGGCTGCCCTGATTGGCCACGCCCGGGCTTTCAGGGCCATTGTGCATCTTTGTAAGAGAGCAGTCTTGCTGCGTCTCAGGGTGGCAATTCTTGTTTATCAAAGACTGCCTGAGGTGCAATACAGGCAACAGAGGAGGAGGACAAGGAAGCAGACACACCAGAGGCTGCTTACGGAGTTTGCATCCACGTGCTCTGCAGGCCAAGCAGTTGTGCAATGGGATGTGTAAAGGCTTCAGCATCTTAAGGTACCAGCGAGTGGTATATCTGTGTACAGCACCTAGAAAAGGAAAAGAGACGATCAATTATAAGAATGTCCCTCCTCTTTCCAGTTTCATCTTATTTAATACAGCTGCCGTATCTTCACTACACAATAGGCAATTTCCATTTCTCCCTGGATTTTCCAAGGGCTTTAAGAAGATGAATTGAGCATATGACCACTTCAGCACCCAACCCTGACATTCCATAATCCTATAAACTCTTTCTTTGAACATGTAAATATTTGACTCTTAAAATAGGTCTGGCATACCAGTAGGTAACCTCACTGTGCTTGTCAGCAGTCCCACAGAGAAGCTGCGCATTATCCTGAAATCACACAGTATGCTCAAGATCCCAGAAAACATTAAGGAGTCAGGAACAGAGTAGTATATCTTTCCCACTTGGAAGCCAAATATCTGAACATTGCTTACATTTCCCAATGCAGGAACTATAATATTAGGTTACCCAATTAGTTCTGCCAGGCTTTAATCTAATACTGCAGCTAGAATAGTTTTTGAGTATCCATTTTAATAAAGAAGAAATTACTACTTTATTTTTGCTACCACAAAAGAAGTTAGAGATAACTATTGCTGTGGAACCCTGGGGCTGACAGGGCTGTAACAGAGTCCTCATTCTAATGGATATTATGATGTTACAGGGGAAAATGCAAACCATATTGCCCTGCACAGCACTATGATGCACAAAATCCATTCCAGTTAAGTATTTTTGCATATCTCACCATGTAATTGTGATTTCCTGCGCCGGGCTTTGTGTCCTGCTTTCACATTACGTTGAGCATGTTTGCAAGACTGCTTTTTCCACCTCTGCAGACGGCCATCTGTCTCTCTCAGTAGGTATTTCTCATTGACTGAGGTAGCTACCAATGGTGTCTGATTCAGAAGGCGAAAAGCTCCTTCCCCCTTCCTAAGAAAAAAATTGAGAATAAGAGGCAGTATCAGGAGCAGCCCAGCATTAATCAAAAAGAGTGTTGTTTACTCAAAATATTTATACATCCTTTTCTACCCTTGGAGAAAACAAACTCCAGGGCACTTACCAAATGCATGCAAAATTAAGACACGATAAACTTAACACTAAGGATGTTCCACTGTTGAACTCTGTGTCAGAACAGTTATAACTTCCCTCTTTCTAGCTTTTAGATGTTATCATTGATCTTTCCAGGGCTCTTGTGATAATAGAAGACAAATACTGCCCCTCCCCTTTCAAAATCCTAGGCTCGCTAGCAACCATCCCTTGAGAACTAAGGCTTGTTTACACCTGGGCATTAAGCAGTCTGCACTTCTTGCCAGGAATGATTGCCGAAAACACTTGAAGATGGGGACAAGAATTAATGGAGATTATCATTTGGTTTCCTTTCCTGCAACTGTTTCTCAGAAACTCAGAAATCCCACTCCCAACCAGCTCCCAACATTTGAGATTGCGCTCCCTTCCATTTTCACCTTTCACAAGTGTGGCATTCGCATAATTCATTGTTCTCCCCAAAGAAGCCGTCGCCATAGAAGCATGTGATCTCATCATCTGGCTCAATGTCCCGCAGCACCTTGACACAAGCCGTGTTCCCATCCATTGGGACAAACTGCAGCGCAAACAATGGGTTAGGGGTAGAAAAAGCAGGAAAGAAAGGCTAGCCAGGAAAGAAAGAGAAGAAGCAGATCCAAGAAACTCCCAGGGGAGAGGGAGAATGAAGCAGTCTCCTCTTCCCCTTCAGAAAGCCCACGTTTCACATCAATTCTTTCTCAAAGCTATTTGTTCAGACTTCTTACGCCTTTGTGGAACAATTTTGCAAAACAGGGTATCAAAGAGAATTTGATTTCTTCTGATCCTAAACAATAGAAAACTCTATCATATTTCCAGTTTCCAAGACGGGGAAAAAAGTCTTGTACCTCCAGTGAAAAATGAGAAGATTAATGAGGTAAAGTTCCTAGGATTACAAAGAGATACTTTTCTACCTCAGGCAATCAAAACTCCTCCTAAGTGTTTTCCAGACACTACTACAGTATATTGTGCTCCTGGTCTATTTCAACCTCTCCCGAAATATATTCCCACTCGTTCCTATTCACTCTAGTCAGTAATACATTTAGGCCTCATCCCAAGTTCAGAGTCTCGTATCCTAACGAATAGCATCCTGTGCCCCAACAATAAGTCAACACAGCTTACCTTACAGTTTGGTCTGCAGTCTGATTAGTTGCACAGTGAGCAGGAATTACATTTTGGAGGGGAACAATAAGAAGAAAAGGGGAGATTTTAAAAAAGAGCTAAACATGAATTACAAGTATTCCTTCTTAGCAGAAGCTGCAGCAGAGAAAACTTGCTCATTTTTTCAACAGGACATTTTGCTTTATCTAGAAGCATTTACAAATCTGAATCAATTGAGTAGGTGCAATGCAAATTATGGAAATCCAGCCGAAGAAAAGTATTGCATTTGGATTAAATCCTCACTGTTTTCCACGTTATGAACTCAAGGCGGCATATTTGACATTTGTACAAGTACATTAGCATATCAAACCCCTCTCACTCAATAAAGTGCAAAACAATTGTGCCTTATGTCTTATACCTTTAATGAAAATTTTAAAATACTGAAAGGAAGTAAGTTTTTCTATGAGTTCTGTGGCCGAATAAGGAGAAGCTTTTAAGAAAGTTCAATTTATTATTGCCTTTTGCAGTTAAATTCTGAACCCTAAGTCTATCAGATAATCCCTTGGTCTGGCATCTCCCACCCGTAAGATTAGCTAAAATGGGTCCAAATGTCTCCTCTAAATGTTGGAAATGTAAATTGGCAAAAGGGACATACTATCATATGTGGTGGGAGTGCCCACGAGCCCGTGACTTTTGGAATAAGATTAAAAAATGTCTGGAAGAAATATTAAAGTTAGTGGTAGAGTTAAGACCAGAACTCTTTTTACTAGGCATAACCATGCAGAAATACAACAAAGGAGTGTTTTATTTGATGTTACACATTCTCACGGCTGCTAGATTGGTGTATGCTCAAAACTGGAGGAATAAAGGAATCCCAACAGAAGAAGAGATTATATATAAAATTTTATCGTGTGCTGAAATGGATAGGCTTACAATGGAAATGAAGGATAAGACAGAATCAGACTATTTCGAGATCTGGGACAAATTTTATCACTGGTGTGAATCAAGGAGAACTGCTCGGGTTTTAAATTAGCGTTAAGATAGAATTATATATAACTGTATATATAACTGCATTGTATAGAAAAATATGTTTATATAGAGATCAAGAACTATGTATTAATTACATGTATCAAGAGGAACAAATTGTTAGGAATATTTATTTTGGAATGTCATGTTATGTCCATCTTTGTTTTTAACTGTACTATAAATAAAAAACTTTTTATTAAAAAAAAGATAATCCCTTGGTCATTTCAAAACCTTACTCATGCAGCATTTCAAGCAATTAACTAAGGAAGCTTTCTTAACAGACTATTGCCTCACCAATAGGTTGTAAACAAACATCTCCCATTTTGGCTATCTAAAAATATGAAAAATAAATAAATAAATAATAAATTTAAAACAGCTTATTATTCTTAATGTCTTTTTATGCCTAATCTTTAAATGAATGAGACACAAGTTTAAGATTAAATTTTTAGAGAATTTGGTTCCAGCTTCAAAAAAAAGTAAATAGTCCTCTATTCAACATAAAACATAACATCCTGACTAGATTTTCAAATGCATTTAGGATAAGAAGTTCCTTAGACACTGCAAACTAATTTTTCATCAACCCTTTCACAATCAAAATTATATCAAATTCTCAATTTCTACAACAGTATTCACATGATTAAATATCCCTCACTATGAAAGCTGACACAAGAAACAGCACCAAGCAACTTTAATCTATAGGCCATCTATATTGATAGTTAGCAGCCACATTTCTCCCAGTTACTAAAATAATCACAATTCTTGGGAAATACTTAATTTAGAAAATAACCATGAGATAACTTGCACAGGTGCACATACAGAGTGACGTGACTAGGCCACTGACTACAAAGAAACTGCTTCTGTCCAGTCATTAACTGGGCAGATAATTAGGGGCATCTGTATTTCTTTGGAACAAAATTGTCCTTCTTTAAGCCTCAATGCCTTTAAATTTCAGCAATTCTACCAAAGAAATGATTCATTGCAACCACAATGCCTTTTTTCTTTTCCTTTTACTAAAATATAAATATATCTCAAGAGAAACCATGTTAGTAGGAACAATTCATCTATAGGTTATCCAATGATAATGATTGTTATAATAAAATATGCTTTAGCATTATTACCAAGTCAATCATATTAACTAGGAAAATATATTCATTTTCCTAAGAGAAAACTGAAACAGTATATAGACATCAAGATAAAAAAAAATTAAATTTTGTCAATGAAAAACACTGCAAGTTTTGGCAACCCAATTAAGTTGTTAAGTGTAGAGTGTTGTCTGTCTTTGTGTCAGAAGCACCTACAAAGCTAACTGAAATGAGATGATTAATTCTTAATACTGTAATTAGGATCATGCAGCAATTCAGATTTGAAGGGGAAAATGTGATTTGGAGATCTGGGGACACTCACACAGTTCCTGTGGCAATTCTGTAAAGAGGTTGTGTCTTTCCCTCATTTCACACAGTAGCCCAAGAAAAGCCACACTGGATTTAAAGAAACGTCAACAAGTCTAATGAGCACTCCCATGTGAGCTCTGAATAATATATTCTCAACTGAATCCTAATTGCTGTACCACCCCATTAATGACAACTGCATATTTGCTACATACCAGTCATCACTACTGTTTAGTTCTGATATATCCCTATTGGTAACTATAGAAAGTTCAATTTCCCAAATAACTGACTAGAATATCTAGACTATTGACTGGAATATCTCTGATCTGGGATAGATAGCTATCTTACTTCTCCTCATCAGTTAGTCTAAGTTATAAGACCGGTTATATAAAACTTACCATTATCATTTTCATTGCAATTTAAACAGTTTGAGGCAACTACCTCTCTAACTTGCACCTGAAAGCTTCCACCTACCATGATTAATGAAGGCTGCAGGCCCTAGCCAAAGTTGGGCACACTGTTTCCGAGTGGAGTACATGATGCTGAAGTCATTTTCACCTGCTCGGAGAAGGCTCTCGTCGGGTTCTGTCAGTTCTGCAATGTAGCCCTCTAAAAGCTCCAGTTTATCATTCTTTCTCCTTATGGGAGAGGAAAAAAATAACCTTACCTATCCAGAGGATTATGCTGCTGTAATCTTAAATAAAACATTCAAGAGCAAATGCATGGTTACTTTATTATCCATTTCTTTGCATGCTGGTTGGTATAATCCAGCGTGCAAGTTAACAATTTTGCCACATGGGGAAGCAGTAGTAGTATGAACTTACCATGACTTTGTAGACACTACCTGGGCTCCATTTATTTCTAAGGAATATCGACTACAGCGTCTGATGGCAAAACCACTCTCAGGAAGGAAAATGCGAAGGTACCGAAAAATCTGGGGTGGGTGTGGGGGGAGAGGGAAGAGAGGAAGGAATATTAGATACATTTGCTGCCTTGAGTTGTTTATAAAAAAATAATAAAGGTGCGATATAAATAAAATAAAATCACTGCAAGGGAGTTAATTGAAAGAATCAGTGGAGAACTAAGTCAGAGACAATGCTCATATCACTTCTATGAATATGTTTACTCTCTTCCCATATAAAATGTATCTCACTATAGTTGTAAACAATTTTCTTTCTATCAAGCTCACATTCACATAAGTTGAAGATGCTTAAAAACATCAAAGCTAAAAAAGATAAAAAAGAAGAAAATGATACTTCTTGGTCCTTTCATCCACAGCCAGCCTTTGTGGATCTTCACTGCCAGCTTGTGTTACAAGTAACGGTCAAGTTAAAAAAAAAAAAAGGTTATAGCCTAATAATTTTATGTCACTTAATTACAAAGTTCATGTAGGCTGTTTGTGGCCAGAGCACTAATACATTTAATTTGGGCTAGAGAAAAGGAAGGCATAGACTAGGTTAGGATAAGTACTTTTTTCTAACTTCCATACATTATTAGAATATGCCCCATGATTCACTTTTAATAATAAATAACATGTTATGGAACAGCTTTTCCAAACCTGATCGTTTGAGATGGTATTAAACTAAACTCCTACCACCCTAACTGCCATGCTGACTAGGATAAGACCCACAATGTAATAATCCAAAAGAAACGGGATTGGGATAAAAAAGTCTCTATAAATAACTTTTTCAAATTTCAACATGCTCTCCAGCCACTAAAAGGTAAAAACCAGGATTGTACATGACTCTTGAAGGCAGCTTCCTGCTGATGGCTCCGGTTTGCAAAATACTGGCAGGCCCAGCCACCCTGCATCAAGGCTTGATATGCTGCTTCTAGGTCCTTGCGCTTCCGGAAAGCTTCTACTGCCTCCCGTAAATGGTGCTTCCTCCTGATGGCTGGGAGTGGGCTATAAAAATAAAAGAGGAAGAATTTCTTTTGTAACATATTTGTTTCCTCCTTTCAGGTAGTCTTTGACTTACGACCATTAGTTCAGTAACCTTTCAAAATTACAACGGTGCTAAATGGACAAGTTATGGTTGTTGCACCCCTGCAATCATGTGTTCAAAATTCAGGTGCCTGGCAGCCTATTTGCACTAGCAATCACAGGGGTGCTGCAACTCCCCTCATTCACCTATCTCTCCCATCTCAGCTGCGCAACAGTGCTTGCTATAGCACAGGAGGCCTCTGCCAGATACATAGCCCATCAACAATCAACATTCTGGTCCCAATTGTGGTAAGTCAAGGACTACCTATACCAGGGGTAGGCAACCTTGGCTCTTTTATGATTCGTGGACTTCAACTCCCAGAATTCCTGAGCCAGCTGACCTATGCTCTCTATCCTCAGCACTTAATATCCAAAGATATAAAAATCTATCTATCTATCTATCTATCTATCTATCTATCTATCTATCTATCTATCTATCTATTATCTATCTATCTATCTATCTATCTATCTATCTATCTATCTATCTATCTATCTATCTGTCTATCTATCCATTCCCACTTTACAATCTTAATTTTCAGACTTATTCCATCTCCATTCCTATTTCTTACCTTACATTCATTTTATGAGTCCTAAAGCCAAGGTAAGAGTCAAGAATTAGCGTTGTGGCAAGATCATCATTTTCACATAGTTCTTTTGCAGTTAACCGAGTGGAGCCCATCTTCTTTCTAGAACCATACTGTTCTCAACTCTGCTAGCCACAAGAGAGAAGCAAGACAAACAATTAAAGTGAAATACACAGAGAAGTGGGGAATCTGAATGAAAACTCCAATAAAAGCAGGACTATCAGACATTAAAATAAGATTCCCTATGACCTATGACCTCTACCATAATTTAACTTGCTATTTGCACATACACTGAGATTTCTTTTTTCAAGAAAGTCAACCTTTATTAGAATGGTTTTAATAAACTAAAATTAATTTAAAAACTAAAAAAATAGCATTTTGCCACATTTGCTCAAATTGTTTGTACTATGTTGATGTTTCCATTGTGTGTTGCAATTTTTATAACTAAAGTATGCCAAGAAACACAGTTTTTATACCTGTAGGTTAATCAGTAACTGAATTGATAAACAAAAATTATTTCATTATGCTTTATATTTTATGTAACTTTTTAATATTGTGACAAATCTCCTAGTGCCACTTTATTAAGCCTGAGGCTCATGTAACTTTCATTTGATCTGATCTGATCAACAAAACAAAATTCTCCATGGCCAGGGGAAGAGGAAACATAATACGAAATATTATCTTAGAAAAATGTTTTTAAATCATAATATATAACTCAAAACATGAAATACAAATATTTTTATGGAGGAATCTAGACTCTAAAACAGTGGTGGCGAACCTATGGCACGCATGCCAGAGGCGGCACTCAGAGCCCTCTCTGTGGGCACGCGCGCTATTGCCCCAGCAGAGTTCACCAGAGTAGCGAGCACATGGCATTTGGAAGCAACAGGGCAGGAAGTGAACGAGCAAGTGGCGGTGGCCTCCTGGGGATACCCCGGAGATGGCAAGGGACTGGCCCTGGCCACACTCACCCAGTCTACTGTGACCACTGCAGCCACGCCCACCCAGTGGGCCACACACCCCATGCCCCCACTGAGGGCACCACAATGCTGATGCAGCCCTGGCACTTTGCAATAAATAAGTGGGTTTTGGGTTGCAGCTTGGGCACTCAGTCTCTAAAAGGCTCGCCATCACTGCTCTAAAACCTTAAATAATTCTTCCTGTTCTATCTTCCTCAAATCGATGCCCTCCATAACAGGAGTTAAAATCCACCTAGAGGGAATATTTGGAATAGATACCCAGCAGGTGGCAGCATCTGACTAACTTTTGTGACGCTCACAAGACAAGCAGGAGTTGGACCTGGTTAACCTTAGATAGAAGATGTTTACATCCCTGAGATGTAAACTAGATTGGGATGTCAAAGCAACATTGTAAAGAAATGGCAAACCACTTGCATCACCAAAAGATGAATTTGACCAAAGAGACTACATTTTAAAATACAGAAACATTCAACATCTGTTTCTTGAATTCTAGCCTCCTTTTAGTTCTGGAGATACCGGAACTAGAAATATTCCAAACCTACTGATGCCTAGTCTCCTCATTGTTCATGCATTTTTCACTTCTCTCTCGAAACAGTTGTGACACAGATATATAAGACAATAGCTTAGGACCAAAACTTAATACTTTATTAATATTATCATTAGCAGTTTATGTTGTACTATAAACTGTATAATTCATGAATATATATGCCTGAAAATAAAACATTCCAGAAATTTCAGGATTTCTCCCCTGTATCATATATGTTTCTATGAGAAGGAGCAGAGAAATAAATATGTAATTTTTTTCTCTCCAGGATGTCAAAATGTCCAAAGAATTTAAATTTCTAATTTGGTCCCAATCTGTTAAAAAATTCTCTCTCCACTACTTCTTTAAACCTTCCAAAACCTTTTACACCACCTACTCAAAAAACTCACTCTATCACCCCCTACAAATGATATTTCTACATAGTTCACTGCTTAACAGTGAATATTTAATGCCAAGAAACCCTATAAAATGAAAACCCAATCCCACTCCAAAAATCAAGTACATTAGGCCCTCTTCAACAGTAATCCTCAAATATTAATTGGTTTACCAAGCAGGTTCATTTGGTGCTTGCTATCCCAAAGTTGTTGATTTCAATAGACTGAATGTTCCCCTATCTTCACTGAGAGATGAAAAAAACATAATAGAAACTGCATTGCTGTTTCTCAGATTCATCAAATCCATATCAAGGACTTTCTTGGTAAAAGAAATGGACCTCCTTTACCATTCTTCCCCCAGATGGCTAGAATTACTGGTTTGCGAATACTTATTCTTCAAGAGTTGAGGCCAGAATAGTGCCAGCAGAACCATTTATCCATTAGAATAAGAGATAATGCTGCAAATTGACTCTAGATTCATATAAAAATATGAGAATTCCTCTTGTCTCCTGATAGCAGTTTGCACATACCAGATAGCTGAGCCAAATACTATGTATGTGTTCAACTATTTATCCACTCATTCAGGCCTATACATTGCTTTAGTCATAGACTCTAAGCTTACATTTCCAACGAAATGTATTAAAGTGTTACAGCATCCTGGGTAGTATACCATCATCTCAGTGGTAGGATTCAAATATGTGAACAACTGGTTCTCTGTGTGGATGCCGCTTCCGGAAGTCCATTCTGGGCCTGGGCAACAAAAAATTAGCTACCGGTTCTGCCGAAGAGGTGCGAACTGGCTAAATCCCACCACTACATCACCTCTTTCAAGGCAGGCAGAACCACCCCTTTTCTCAAGGATGTATTCATTACTTCTCTGATCCAGTTTCTATCAGCTCCTTAGAGGCCTTCACCAATCAGGAAAAGGAAGGATCCAATCAACAAGTGGCAAAGCTAATATCACTAGTACCCTAGCCATTTCCTCAGAGCTAACAGAATCAAACTCATCCCAGATAATTTTGCAAGACCCCTATTTCTTGCAATAGACTTGCCCGTTCGGCTTCTAACTGAATCAAAAGCAATTTATATTCCAGATATCCTTCAAATGTCTTCACTCTTTTTAGTCTATATTCCTGGTAGGATTCTTATTATGAAAACAGTATCTTCAAGTTTTGCAAGAGAACATCAACTGCTCAGTTAGGAGAATCATGATACTGTGAAAACTATACTGGGATATCAAGTCAACATTCTTGTCAAGCCTTTAATTAACCAACTCCCTGAGCAGTTGTGTAGTACCAGCAAGTCTTACTGGATTACAGCAAGATATACTGTAAATCAGGGATTGCCAACTGGGGGTGTGAGACGATATTCTAAAGGGTGCAAAAACTTGGGTTTTCAAAATTATGGTTTATATGCATAATTCATTGCCGTTATTTTGAACTTTTATAAGGGGTACGAGAAAATGTTGGGAGCCACTGCTATAAATGTAAATCAGTTAATGGAGGTTTTTTGGCTGTAATATAGAAGTAAGTTGCTACTGCCTTCTTTCGTTTGCAACTTCTCAGACTATCCTATTGCTATAGTTTCTATTCAAATACTAGCCAATCCCAATTATACCTATCTTCCAAGCCCAGCCAGGTGTTGCCTCCTACTTAGCCATATGGCTAAGAAGGCCAAAGTAATAATTTGAAGTGAGAGAATAACTATACTCACCTGAAATGAATACCTATGGTTAACTCAGGCATGTCAAACTGCCGGTCCGCGGGCTGGATGCGTCATGCCGAAACTGCACCCATCCCATTGCCTGCAATGGAGAAAAATCTTGATACGTCACGCGACGTCACGTGACATTGCGAATTTAACATGCCTGGGTTAACTGAACCACAATTTATTCAGCCTAGTTCTCTGATTTAACATGACACACTGAACCACAAACAGAATATTTTTAGCCTAGCATGTTGGGCAGAGCCAATGTATGCGATTAGTTCATGGTTTAATTATGCTGTATGAAACGATAAAAGAATATTCTGGCACAGATGAGATAAAAAACAGAATTCATGTAGTTTAAAAAGTCAGGAATTTGGGGCCTGAATGCAGAGAAAATAGTCTTACAAATTATCCAGACCTATGCCTATTTTAAGGTAGAGTTGTTGAAACTTTTTACTTCTTCGCTACATATAGTAAGTACTAAGCATTTCTCAAAAGTCTTTTTCAAAAGAGATAGGGTGTTAATTAAAAATTGTTCTACTCTATTTGTAGGGAGCTCAAGTCTATTTACATGCAAATTCCTGTTTCATAATCTGGGCCAGAGAATTTCCTGGCTTTAGTTTTCTGAATTATAACAGGCTGCAGTTTCTTACTTTTCTTCTCCCAATTCCCAGCAATGCCATAAGAAGAAAAAAGCAGTTAGTCATCAGGAGGGCAGAATTTCTTGGGAATGGTTATATTAGCATTATATAATTTAAATAAATTAGCATTTATATGAGTAGATAAAAAGCAATATTTCCTAACCTCGCACTTTTCAGATGTAATAATTAGATTAAAATTTGTAGAAACAAGTATGACAAACTATAACCCTACGATTCTTCTGACTGCTACTGCGGAACCCCTGTGGGAATATTTGTTACCATATGAGATACAAAGCTTGAAACTGCACGTCTTACAGTAAGCTTAACATAGTTTTTAAAAAACAAACATCTTTAAAAACCAAAGAAAAATAGATCCACACAATTTGCATCATTGTTTTGTTCATCATGTCGTAGGATTCACTCAAAAGATTAAATGCAGCTCTATGCCACCAAACATTGCTCAATGCACATCAGGAAGTGAAACTATGCCACCCCATTGCACCTCAGGAAGGCATCAGGTTGGGGCAAAGAATACAGAGTCAAGACATTTGCTATTTCCCAATATATGATTCTGTCAACCTATTTTTCAAAATTGTTTCAAATCCTCTTCAGTCCTCTTATTTAGCTTGTCTATCACACATTAACCAAATCAGAGTTTATTGGGTAAACTATATTTGGTTCCATTCATACGTCATACTAAACAGCAAATAGAGATACCGCATTATGGCTATTTGCACTGTATAAACAAAATTACTGAGATATCTTTCTTAACAGTATATTCACATTATTAATTTTGTTTATAAAATAAGATGCACTACCATACAGTTACTGGATAAAACATATTATTTCAGGCTGCTATGAAGGGGAAAGCATTATGATTCCATACACCTGAGTCCTTTTCAGAAGTAGACATCAAAGCCAGTGATAACTGTACACATATCAAAAAGAAAATTCTAGAAAAAAGAATTACTGGTAAGCAAGAAAGTGCCAATAGAAGAGAATTATTTATAGCTGAATGTTGGGCTGTGGGGACCTTGGTGCTTTCTGAGCTTGGTTATTTTCTTGCAGATATTTCATTATCAAACTAGGTAACAGCAGGGCAGAAGAAAGTTCTGAATATGAAACAATTGGGACGTTTATTCCCATTCCTTAAACAGCCTCCCATGCCAGATTGCTGTGCTAATATTTATGATTTATTCATTGATGAAGATCTAATTCAACTATCTTTGCTTATATTTAATCTATAATTTCATTATTGGGGGGGAAAAACTCTGAAGACCAAAATCAAAAAAACAGACGCTTGCCCTTTAAAGTGTTCTATAACTATCCTAACCATCAAAAGGTATAATCACTACCACATAACACATATTGAAGAATCAACACATATCACTTGTTTTTAATACACAATAGTAATTTTAAAAACTTCAAAAAAGCTTTAAAACCTGCCTCAAGTAGCAACTTTGTAGCAGCAGTGTGTGAGACTGTACAGGTGGTCCTCAACTTACAACCATTCATTTAGTGATTGTTACAATGACACTGAAAAAAAGATGTATGACCATTTTTCAAAGTTATGACTGTTGGAGCATCCTCATGGTCACATGATCAAAATTCAGATGCTTGGCAACTGTTCATATTTGCAAACGGGTGCAGTGTCCCAAGGTTATATGATCACCTTTTCTGATCTTCTGACAAGCAAAGTCAATGTGGGAGCCAGATTCATTTAACAACCGGGTTACTAACTTAACAACTGCAGGGATTCATTTAACAACTGTGGCAAGAAAGGTTGTAAAATGGGGCAATACTCACTTAACAAGTGTCTCACTTAGCAACAGGAATTTGAGGCTCAATTGTGATTGTAAGTCGAGGAGTTCCTCTGTGTATAATTGGCAAGCGCTTCAAATTTATTATTACACTGGATTCAGGCTCCAAGTGTAACACAGTTAATTGTGGATAGGAAATTTCTGGAACAACTCTATAAAGGGAAGATATTTAACCCAGAACTAAGAAAGCACAAAGTGAAGAGATGAGAGCACATATTTCCGATGGTCTTAGGCAGGGTTTGTCAACCGCCTTCTCTCCCACTCACCCCTCCGCTCCACCTCACTTGTTTGTGGAAAATATGCTGCTTGGCACCAGTCTGCACGAACTCTACCAAATGTGCCCTGCAGGGCCCGCATGAAGAGCGCAGATGCAGAGCAAGAGACTCATTGTGCAGCAACCGGATTGACTTCTTCTCGTGCACGTAGGTCAGTGAAGGGGAGGCCACCGCAGCACCCAACTACTGCGCCCATCAGCTGGCGACCCCCAAACTTGCGCTTGTCAGCCGGGAGGTCTGGCGATGGCCGCCGGTCTCCTTTGCCACCCCGCCCGTTCATGTCGAGCCCACCGGGGCTTGACAGGGAGAGAGGGAGGGAAGGAGGAAGGGACTCCTCCTTCTCTCCTAAGCTTCAAAGCACGATCGGCTTCCCAAGGGCACCATAATCCTCACAAAAGTGGGGGGGAGAAGCAAAAGGGGCGAGAAAGCTCGTGGCGGGCTCGAAGAAGCACCTGTCAGCATTGGTGACGAGAAATTCCCCATAAACCCAGGGAAGGGGTGGAGAAAAGGAGCCCCCTTTGGGAGGAAACCGCCACCTTCTTCTCCTTGGCTTTGCGCTCTTCTGTTTCTCAGCAGCCGGGCTGCCAAGCCTGTCGGCTGGAACTTCTTTTCCTTCCCTCCCTCTTGGTCTCTTCCTCCTTCCCTCCCTCTCCCATTGTCCCTTCCTTCCTTCCTTCCTTTCCTTCACCTCCCTCTTTGTCCCTTCTTCCCTCCCTCTCTCCCCTTGTCCCTTCCTTCCTTTCCTTCGCCTCCCTCTTTATCCCTCCTTCCCTCCCTCTTTCCCTTTGTCCCTTCCGTCCTTCTTTCCTTCTCTCTTGTCCAGAATCGGGGTGAACCTCTACAGCTGATCCACGCTTTTGCAGAGCAGCCAAGAAGCAGGTCAGCTGTAGCAGCTCTCCTTGGCTCCTGCCCAGCAAACTTGCTCGAGCTTTGCTAGAAAACATGCCACTTGCTAATTGAGCAGAAGCGTGAATCAGCTGTAGCCCGGCACTGATCCTGAGGCTTCTGCTAACTTAGCAAGCGGCTTGTTTTCTGGTGAAGCTGAGCAAGTGATCTGGGTGGAGCTCTCCTCTGCCTCTGGCAGCCTATCCCCTCCTCTTGTCCCTTCCTGGGCACGGGGGGGGGGAGGAAGGAAGGGATGAAGAGGGAGGGAAGGAAGGGACAATGAGAGAGGGAAGGAAGGAACAATGGAAGGGAGGGAGGGAGGGAGGGAGGGAAGGAAGGAACTAAGAAGGAGGTGAAGGAAAGGAAGGAAAGAAGGAAGGGACAATGGGAAGGAGGGAGGGAAGGAGGAAGAGACTAAGGGAGATGAAGGAAAGAAAGAAAAGAAAGGGACAATGGGAAAGAGGGAGGGAAGGAGGAAGAGACTAAGAAGGAGGTGAAGAAAAGGAAAGAAAGAAGGGACAATGGGAGAGAGGGAGGGAAGGAGGAAGAGACTAAGAAGGAGGTGAAGGAAAGGAGGAAGGGACAATGGGAAAGAGGGAGGGAAGAGACTAAGGGAGGTGAAGGAAAGGAAGAAAAGAAGGAAGGAAGGGACAAGGAGAGAGAAGGGAGGGAAGGAAGGCAGGCACCCACCCTAGTCCCATCCCAGAGACCCACAAATTCCCTCCCCCACAGACACTCTGCAACCTGAGTGATCAGCTGGCCACACCTCCTGGCCATTGATCACATGACCCTGGGACACTGTGAATGTCATAAGTATGAATCAGTTGTCAAGCATCCGAATGTAAATCACATGACCCTGGGGATGCTGCAACAATCATAAGTGTGAAAAATGATCATAATTCGCTTTTTCAGTGCTGTTGTAACTTCAAACAATTCACTAAGCGAATTGTTGTAAGTTAAGGACTACCTATACTTTCCCATTTTTTCCTCTCTTTTTTTTGGTCAAGTTTTTGATACCCCCCCCCCGGCCAGCTGGATGGGGGGTTGGGGGTCATCACAACATGAGGAACTGTATTAAAGGGTCGCGGCATTAGGAAGGTTGAGAACCACTGCCTTAAATGAACCCTAAGCCTTTATTTGAAGGGTAGAGAATGGCAACCTGGCTTTGAAGGAGCGCATGAGGGAATGGGGCTTTTTATTCATAGAGGCTATTTAGGGTGAAAGAGGAGAGGAGGGGAGAGGAGGAGCTCTGACCCTGAGAGGAAATGCCCCTTTGCGGGCTTTGTTACCTCAGGATCTGGACTGGAAGAGGAAACGAAGTGCGGGCGGGGAAGGCAGAATGGGGGTTTCTTGGTCCCTTCCCCACAGACAGAGACTGGCCAACTGACAGACGGAGTCGAAGGCACCTGCGCCTGCCCCAGCCTCGCGCAACCCGCACACGACCCCAGGCAGATTTTCTCCGTCTCACCCCCACCCCCCGCAAGACACCCCACCCCCCCTTCTCCTCGCGGGCTTCCACGCGCACCGCGCCTTGGTGTAATCACCCGCGCGCCAGAGAGCCGCGTTCTCCTTCTCCTCCCCCCTCCTCCTCCTCAAGCTCCGGCGTTCCCAAAGGACTTTGCCCCCACACCCTTTCCCCCCCCCTTTTCGTTTTCCCTCCTCCCCTCCTCCCCTTTCTTCCTTTCTTTCTTAACGCAGACCTTCACGAGCGCTCCGTTCTTATTCTCCGCTGTTGGTTCGCCCGCCTCACAACGCGCGAGCGCGCCCACCTCTTCCCCCATACGATTCGCCCTTTCGCATGCCTATCAATTTCCCGGGCCCGTGATCACGGGGTGCCGTTGGCCACGCTCAGCCGTCAATCACAGGCGGCCCCACCTTCTTCCCGTTGTGCCTCCATTGTGCCCCTGAAGAAAAGACAGCCTCCTGGACCGCCCACCCGCATGCTTGGTGATGATTGGTGTAAAGAGACTTCCTTTGGAAAGAGTGTCTCGGTTCGATAGGGTACGTTCGTGTGCTTTGTTTTCTACATCTGCTCACATGAGGGGGTGTAGTCGAAGTTTATTCGACGATAATGATGTCTATTAATTTTGAATCCGCCTTCCGAAGTCGAATGAGGACGCGGCCCCCAGCTTACGTGTCCGACTGGACAAATCTGCTGCCTATCAAATTGTTTACATGTTCCTCCTCCAGTCGCGCCTTATGTGGAACAGCGTCCTGCCTACAGCATGCTTGTTGCGCATATTAGGCACAGAGCAATATTTCCCTATTGGATAATTGAATGTCAAATAAATGGAACCGCCCTCTCTTACAAAGGCTGCAACAGCCCGCCCCCGCTTATCTTCATTGGTCAAACGCAATGCTTATCAATGAGTAAGACATGGCTCCAAAGCTCATTGGATAGTTCAATAAACTTGGAACAAATCATCCTCTTTCTTCACTTCCTGTGGGCGTGCCCTCATCCTTGTTGATAAAAGAGTAGCGTTCTCCTAAGCCTGACATAGTAATCGTTTTGAAGGTGGGAGATCCATTGACCGAGCCTCGCTGCCCTTTCTGTAGATACCGCCATTTGAAATCTCCCGCCATAATGCCGCCATTCTCTATTGGTTCGACTGATCTATCCGCATGCCTTAACATTAAGCAAGTTTACTGGTCAATTCAGCTGTCTATCACTGAGCATTCACACGATTTGGTTCGGCTTACAAAGCCACGCCTATTATGAGGAGAAACCCACAGAAACAGAAAGTTTAGATTTATTCATTAGGTTACTTCAAACTTTTTTGAAGTACTGAAAGTGAACGAAAATCTGACCCTTTCCAAGCTTAACCCTTTCGAAATCCAGTTTTAATTCATTCTAAATATTCTCATTCCATTGGTATAAATTTAAGAGGAGATATTTAATTATGGCCCTGCCTAAATAGCAGCACCTAATCCAGGAGTAGGCAACCTCGGCTCTTTTATGATTCATGGACTTCCAACTCCCAGAATTCCTGAGTCAGCTATGCTATGCTGACTCAGGAATTCTGGGAGTTAAAATCCATGAGTCATAAAAGAGCCGAGGTTGCCTACCCCTGACCTAATCAATCTTGCAGAACAGTTAAATGCTGGCAGATAGGAGGCCACCAAGAATTTCAATGCTAGAATTGGGAGAAGAAGAGAAAAAGAAAATAAACCACTGTGAGGTATACAAGAAATGTATATGTTATAATTTTTCATAATATAGATTAGCTTATATTTTATAAAAACTATTTAGAAACAGTATTTAAAGGTATAATATAGCCAAAGCACAGCCATTTTTAACCTTGCTGTAAGTGATGACATACACAACTTGGGTTGAAGCAGACATTAGTTACATTATATAGATAGGCAAGGGAACAGGGTTGAAACATTTGTATCATCCAGCTTAGACAAACTGGCTCCTATTATGAGCTGAGTTGGTTGAATGTTACAACATGAAAAGGAAAAGATAAAAAGGTAAAACAAAGGGGAAATATTAATTGTACAGCTGCAGTGTCTAATAATTTTACTAGACGGTTGGAAAGCATGTGACCAGACTGAACCTATCAACTGGGTCTGGAAAAGAAGGATATGGCGTATTCTACAGGACAGGGTATAAAGGTTTATGCTGAACTAATTTGGGTGTGATCTCTGGGATTGTATTTGCCAGGATCCACCAGCCTTTGCAAACGCTTCAATAAAACTTGTTTTGTTTTCTAACACCTTTGAAGTGCAATTTATTTCATTCCTAACACCACTGATGTACTGTTTGCAAGAAAACTACATAGACAAGAAGCAATGGATGGAAACTAATCAAGGAGAGAAGCAATGTAGAACTAAGGAGAAATTTCCTGATAGTGAGGACAATCAATGAAACAATTTGTCTCCAGAACTTGTGGATGCTCCAGAAGTGGAGATTTTTAAGAAGAGACTGGAGAATCATTTGTCTGAAATGATGTAGGTTCCCTGCCTGAGCAGGGGTTTGGACCAGAAGGGCTCCAAGATCCTTTCCAGTTCTGTTCTGTTATTCTGAAATGCCAAGTGGCATTAACAATATTTATAAATGACTTGAATGATAGAAAATATGATTATTCAATATGTGAACAGCACAAAAATAGAGTAGTAGCAAACATCTTTTAAAAAAAAAAAAACAAAAAACCCAATATCAAGATTCAGAAGGACTTTGGCAAGTTCAAACAATGGGCAGAAAGTGCCAAGATGAATTTCAATAGGAACAAAAGCAAAGTTCTTCATTTGGTGACTAAAATTAAGGCTTGAGAATAGGGTGAACCTATGCCACGTGTGCCAGAGGTGGCACTCGGAGCCCTCTCTGTGGGCATGTGCACTGTCGCCCCAGCCCCACCTCCCCCCGGCCCCTGACTTCCCCTGACCCCCTCCTCACCAGCAGCCCCCCTGGAGGAGAGTCGCCCCTGGGTGCGGCCTGCACGGAGCAGCACAGCCAAGCACATGGCAGCTGGGCAGAAGGGACAAGACTCTGCCCTTGCACCCCGTTTCATGTAGATGATACTACGGGGCGTGGGTGGAGGGCAGGGCTATCATGGTGCTGCAGGGCCACCTGGGCGATCTGCTGTGGCAGGCCGTAGAGGTGGTGGGTGGCCCTGCAGGCAGGGTGGGGGCACGGTGGATTTTGGGCACTCGGTCTCTAAAAGGTTCACCATCACTGCTATATGGGATAGGAATACTTGGAAAATGGATCTGAGTGGATCAGCATAAGCCAACAGGGTGCTATAGCTGCAAAAAAAAAAAAAGAAAAAAATACAGTCCTACCGTTTTATGTCAAATTAAAGAGACATTTAATCATTGTTAAAGCTGGCTACCTCAACAAGAGACTCTGGGCAATGAAAAACAACAAACAAAATAAAAATAATTATAACATGGGTACAAAAAATTAAATAGATAAATGAAAATTCATAATAGCCAACAACATTGTCCACAATGCCAATAGAGCCAGGAGATGGATGCTTTTGTACACTCGGGGCCCCAATCCCAGACACTCAGCCACACCTAAAATAGCACATCCAATTGTGGTGACCCCGTCTTAGGAAGGATATTGGCAAACAATCGGGTTGGACTCAAAAGACCTCTAAGGTCCCTTCCACCTTATGATTCTATAATGATTACAGGAGATTGGAGGCTGTTCATGAAACAAGCAAGATGATAAGTGGCCCAGAAATACATTCAGCATGGAGAAGCAGAGACTGTGGGAAGAGGTGACATCTGCCTTCAAACATCTAAAAACATGTCAGGTTGAATGTGAGGCAGCAGAGGGTTTTGGGGGGGGGGGATATTAAAAAAAATGAGATGACAACCATAATCCCTATGAAACAGAATTCTTCATAGTTGTGCAGAATGCAGATCAAGAAACAATGGATTTAATATTTCTCAATCTCAACAACTTTAAGATGTGTGGCTTCCAGAACCCAGAATTCCCCAAGCTGGGTGGAAAATTCTAGGAAATGAAATCTATTTAGTTATTCATAAAATATAAAATAAATATTTATTTATAAAATTTATTGGCTGTCCATCTTACCTCAGGCTAACTGGGCAGCTTAACAATCATACTATCTTTAAAGCTGTTGAGGTTGAGAAACACTGAGTTGAATGACAGTTCAATGAAATAAAATGTTAGTGGAATGTCAGAATATAAAATCCTAACTTCCATTCCTCAATGGAACAGGAAGTCTTGGGAGTGGTAGGATCTCCTTTGCTGGAAGTGTTTAAACCAGGGAGGTTTGCCAAGGTTGGACACCCTTGTTTAAACAAACACTGGATGGTTATCTCTTGGGAATGCTGTACCAGTAGATTTATACAGTGGGCAGGGAGCAAGACTACATGATTTCTCTACACATGCACATATAAAATCTCCCTCTTTCTACATATCTCACAATATATAGAATCATATTCTATACCAGTGATGGCAAACCTTTTAGAGACTGAGTGCCCCAAAAGCAGCCCTGCCCCCACCTTGCGCCCTGTACCACCCAACTCCACCCCCTGATCTGCCCACCTGCAGGGCCATCCACTGTCTCCATAGCCCGCCGATTGCCCAGGTGGCCCCCCCAGCGCCATGGCAGCTACACCCTCCACCCACACCCGGCAGCATCAAATGCGCACGACGGGGTGCGAGGGCGGAGTCTTCTCCCCGCTGCCTGGCTGCCATGTCCTTGGCTGTACTGCTCCATGCAGGCTGCTCTTGTGGGCAACTCTCCTCTGGGGGGGGCTGCTGATGAGGAGGGGGCCATGGGGGGAGGCAGGGCTGAGGCGATGGCACATGTGCCCACAGAGAGGGCTCTGATTGCTACCTCTGGCACGCATGCCATAGGTTCGCCACCTCTGTTCTATACCAACAAGGTGGGAACAAAATAGAAGGATGAATTCAGATGTCAAAGAAAGAGACTTATACTGGAGTTGACCCTTGAAATAGCTTGGATAATGACCATAAATAACATGCAAACAGAAATGTTTGCAGGCAAGTAGCCATATCAGCCCTTTGCAAGGAAAACAAGTGAAATTTCTGTGGCTGCTCAGAGATCAGTGTTTCTCAACACAGCAACTTTAAGATGAATAAACTTCAACTCCCAGAATTCCCTAGTCACCTCCCTCATTTTAAAGTTGCTAAGGTTGAGAAATATTGTCTGAGACCAATCAATCAAATAAATGAAGCAAGGGAAATTCACTGCAAGGAGATTGGGGAAAAGGCCAAATGTTGTGATCTGAAAAACAACCTCCAGTTCTGG